GCTTTGGGAATGCAAATTATTTCTGTAACATTAGACCAAAGCAAAACATAATTAGAAAGGGAGATCAAAGATGCATCCTCTAATACATCTCAAGGCCACATATGAATGATTTCTGAATGATCTGCCATTTTACTAAATCATGCCACAGAGATAATAAAAAGTTATGCTACCATATTTAGCCCTGCATTTTGAGAAGGATATTGTGACTTTGTCCAAAACAGCAATGATCCCCTCTAACATGGCAAAGTTGGCTCTTTGTATTGGCAAACTAAGACTTAGTCTGAAAGCTAAAGAACATGGGGATACTTTAAAAGACATAAACAAAAATAAAAGTAGAAAACAATGAAAAGCAAAGCACTGACTAGAATTACCAGTTCTCAGGATGCCTTCCGAAGTTCTGTGGATTGGCAGACAGTCGAAATATTCATCGCAATAACAGAAAGAAAAGACTATTCTGTATAACTGTCTGCCTGGCCTGGCATTCCTACCTTCCTGATAACATGTTTGTTGACAGTGTGAAGCCTAATGAAAGTAAACACAGTATTTCGTCTTAAAGGATGATACACTGTAGAGTGGCACATCCATTCTAATCTTCACATATGTAAAAGACTATAAGTAGGAATAAGAAGACTCTTTTATCAGCGTCTTCATATATGCTAGATGGGGGCAAACAAATTAAATCAAAGAAACAAGACAATAAAAAAAACACAAGAAAACACACAACCATAATATTTGGAGGTAGACCATACCTTATAAATCAATTACTATAATCTCCTTATTCTGCAGATGAAAAAAGTGTGCCCTAGGGAGATGAAGTAACTTATCCAGGAAACACAGAAAAGTCAACTTGACTAAATATGGGAAAATTTAAAAATGGCTTATCATTTCTCATCCAATGTAGTATTTCTTATCTAACTTACCATTTCTTTCACTATATCATTATGGAAAAAAGGAATTCTGATCAAAGTAGTTAAGGTTGTGTGATGTATTTTCAGAGAGAAATATAGATGTACTTTTTTAGAAAAGCTTTGGAAAGTATAGATAAATACTGATGGCTGGTTCAATATGCAGGATTATTTAGGGATGTTGATGATGTTGTGAAAATGAATCAAAGGAGACCTCAGCCAAGATTGGAGTCAAGAGGCCTGTAAGGGGAGCTCTCACATCCTACCACTCATTGCTGGTTACCTCAAACAGGAAGAGATGTGTCTTACATCTTTAATAGGACAATAGTTTATACTCTACTACTACAGCAGAAGGAAAAAAGATTTTCTCCTCCCCCAGTAATGCCCAGCCAATGAGAGACTGTCACAACCCAGCCAATGAAAAGCCACTACACTTCAAATTCCCGGTTTCCTCCAATGGACTCTGTTTATACATGCTCCTCCCAACTGCCCCTGTCCAAAATGGTTTTGCCATAGCTTGAATGTCCTGAATTATAATTCTCTGCTATTTCTAAATAAACAAATTTTTTCTTTTGCTTGTAAAATACCTTTTATTTTAAGGTCAACAGTGTCTGGCATGCCTTTCTGTCTCAGAAAAGAGTAAAATGATCAAAATGTCAGATTTCAAAAATAGTGATATGTGTCCATTTGAGGAAATAGTAGTTCCTTGTTTCTATAATCAAAGACCCTCAGTCCTCGAGAAATGATGTCACACTAGCATGTAAAATGTTTAACACACGACTTGCACCCAATTTTGTGACCAGTTGATGTGAAGCTTCAAAGGGTGAGCTAGCTCTCAAACCTCAAGGTGTTGACCCTGGGGCAAGCTATGTGTAGAAATCTTCCACCATTCTGAAAATCCAGTAATGAATTCCGTATTACTTTCTGTATCAGCGATTTGGAAAAGTTGAGTTACTATTAGTTTCATTTCATAATTCATTAGTTTGATTGAGTGTCACTAAGCTGAACATCTGGAGACAAATGAAAGGTACATAAATAACAATCACATATTTAGAAGATGGGAAAATAAAAATCTATTTTGGAAAATAGAATGGTAATAAGCTGCTCTAGAAACTGTGTAAATGAAAGGAAGCCATCTATATTCCACTTTGTCATAAATTCAAGCAAAACAGCTTCATAAGAAATATTTACAACATTCCAACTGGATATGTGTTTTACCTTGGTTACCTCTATGAGTGTGTGAATATCTCCCTGAAATATAATTCCTTATTATGTATACACACACACACTCTCACACATCTATAATAATAAAAGCCTAATATGCGAATCGACTGAACGATCAAACAGCAGAATGACTGTTTGGACAACCTTCCAGATGATCATGGTATGACATGCACTGGTGCCAGGCCAGCCAAGGTGAGTATGATAAGATTGGTTGGGAGGCCCCACCATCGCCCCATGATCACCCAGCAGAAGGAGGCCCAGGCCACCTGGCTGGTGGCCACAGAGGGAGCCCTAGGCCACCCAGCTGGCGGTGCTGAGGTGGGTGAGGCCTCCCTCTGTGGGGCAATTGATCTGGGGGCCCCGTGATCGATCACCCCACAAAGGGAAGCCCATGCCACCAGCCAGTGATGCTGTGATGGCTGTGTTGGGCCAACCAGCAATCACCCCATAGGCAGCGGTTCTCAACTTGTGGGTTGCGACCCCTGAAAATACATCCTGCATATCAGATATTTACATTATGATTCATAACAGTAGCAAAATTACAGTTATGAAGTAGCAACAAAAATAATTTTATGTTTGGGGGTCGCCACAACATGAGGAACTGTATTAAAGGGTCGTGGCATTAGGAAGGTTGAGAACCACTGCTAGAGGGAGGACCAGGCCAGCCAAGCGATCGCATCTCATGCCTGTTGCCCACAGAGGGAGGTGACCGGTGGCTGGGGAGGGGGAGCAGTGCTGCACAGATGGCAAGCAGTGGCAGCAGCAGGGGCTGGGCCAGCTGTTGGCAGCCAGGGGAAGGAAAGCCCCAATAGGCCCTGATCGCCGGCCAGGCTAGGGACCCTTCCCAAGGGGTCCTGGATTGAGAGAGGGTGCAGCCCAGGCTGAGGGACACCCTCTGCCCACCCTACTCCCTCCCATGAATGAATTTCGTGCACTGTGCCTCTAAAATATATATGTGTGTGTGTATATATATCTATATATGTAGATATATAGATATATATAGATATATAGATAGATATATAGATATATAGATATATAGATATATAGATATATAGATATATAGATATATAGATATATAGATATATAGATATATAGATATAGATATATAGATATATAGATATATAGATATATAGATATGTAGATATGTAGATATATAGATATGTAGATATATATATATATATATATATATATATATATATATATATATATATTAGAGGCCAGTATAAACATCCTAAAGCAGAAGGGCATTGTGAAATCCACTGACTGTTCCATCATTGTACTCTCCACAATATCTACCAAAACTGAAAATCTTGTACACATTCAACTGGTAGATCAGGTCATGTTATTTCTTTCTTTAAAATCCTCAGATGGCTTCCATTTATACTTTAAATCAAATCCCTACTCCTTATTATCATCACAAGACCTTAATTCATCTGGCCTTCCTTATCTTATTTTAAGCAATTATCTCTTTTCCCCCCTTCTTTGCCCAGTACACTTCTTTTTTTTTTTTTTTTTTTTTTTTTTTTTATTGAGCACAAGAACTTATCTGAGGTCTTTCATACCTGCTGCTCTCTGCTCAGATCCCCAGAGTCCTAGGCATTTTATGCCTACATCTTCCATGCTAATTTCTCCAAACGGTCTTTTAGGACCCCCTAATTAAAAAACAACAACAACAAAACTGCATTATTTCAGAAAGTCTCCTCTATAATCACCCTGGGTTCTTCTTTTGACAAGATTTACCTTTATTCATAATTTAAAACATTTTTTTTTAACATATGCATATATATTTACTTTGGTGTCTTTTTAAAAAATACACATATATTTCCCCAGTATACCTGTTCACCTCCATATCCCTAGTACTTGGAAGAGTACCTGACTCATAAATATGAAACAAATGAATTAACCCATTGAAATATGGGACTAAGAACAAGAGCACATATCCATATCCCAGAGTATACTATAGCATCACAGTTAATCTGAGTTTCTTCCTCTAGTTGGGGAAATGTGATAAGAGCTGAACCCTTTTCTCTTTTCTCTACCTCAAGGAAGAGAATCACAAGAACTAGGAAAATAAATGATTGATGGGTAACAACTGATTTCCCACTGAGACCTTCTTAACTTTTATGAGAGCTAAGAAAATTCCATTATTGGTACCTGGAAGGTGGATGCTGCATTCTTATTTAATACTTTTTTTTTTCACGTGATTATGCTTAAATTAGTATGAGATAGGGTGGAGACAGCCAAGATTTCAACAATACCACCACCTGTTTCTGTGTCCAAATATTTGGGAATCAAAGAAGAAAAACTCCCATTCCTTTTACCTTAGGAGACACAATACATAATCTATCTTCACTGATGCTTTTATTCAAGTCTCCATATGTATTCATATACTGATGTGAATGAACCATGATGGGTAGAATATCAGGATTCTGAGTTAAACAATGTCTCTTGAATACTCTTTACTTAATGATAATGTGTTGAGTTCTATATGGTTTAAAAAAGAAAGAAAAAAATTCATGACACTGATTCTACTTTAACTAACTAAATGCTATTATGAGAAAATGAACTTAGAGGACAAAATGAAATAACTGCACAATCAAATTGAGTGCTGTGCAAACCTAGCCCATCTTCCCTTGCTATTTTCAGAATCATGACTCTAGACAGAATGGACTCTGGGTTAGGATGTTAGATGGGTGAGCCTACTTGAAAAGTTATATGTGTGTGTGATTGAATTGTATGTGGTATAAGAGGGTTTGGATTTTAACTGTGGATTTATACCAGTTAAAGAAGGTTAAACTTGGCCAGAGCCAGAAATTATCAAGTTCCAAGGCTCCTTTATTATAAATAATCTTCAGTAAGTCATTCTAGTCCTCTGCACACTATCAAAGCACAGGGTAGAGGCTGATCTTTGCCAATGAACTTCTGAGTGTAAGAAATGTGTTACATTAATGGCCGGACTTTGACTAACATCAGTAAAGTCAGCCTCTATAATGGAGTTTGATAGGACTCTCTGCCACAGTAAAAAAAAATCATTCTAGTCCTTTGGCATAAGTTTGTCCATCTCTAATAAAAAATAAATCTGAGTTTAGTTATAAGGTGACTCAGAAAACCACTCAGAATCTTTCAGAAATAGAAATATAAAATAATAATTTGTGATGATGACAATGAAATTAATGTGGCCCGAAGTAGCCATAAATTTTTTGATATGCAGGTGAGGCTGGTGTTGGTTTATGAATGGTTCTTAGCACTTGTACGGATATAAATGAATGGAAAAATCAACTGAAAGAGGAAGATAATAAAGATGCTATTAATAGTGACAGAGAGACATAATATTTCTTATTGAAAACTTTCTTAAACTATTTATTAATTTATATTTTATTTATTTTATTGCTTTTTAAAATATATTTGTATTGATTTCAGAAAGGAAGAGGGAGGAGAGATAGATAGAAACATCAATGATGAGAAAGAATCATTGATTGGCTGCCTCCTGCATGCCCCATACTGGGGATCGAGCCCACAACCAGGACATGTGCCCTGACCGGGAATCAAACCATGACCTCCTGGTTCATAGGTCGATACTCAATCCCTGAGACATGCCAGCCAGGCAATATTTTAAAATCCCCTTGATTGCATTACAGGAATATCAGGGAAGGCAGTGTAGAATCTAATATAGACCTCAAGGTCAGGATTCAGATCTTTGCAGGCTCTTTTTCCTAGTTGTATGGCCTTGCCTACACTACTTAATTTATCTGACTCTATTTATTTATTTATTTATTTTGTTCCATAAAATGAGGGTTGTAATACATACCTCACAGAATTACTTATAAAGATTTAAATAAAATAAATAATAGCAACCATCTAAAGGGATGATAGAAACTGCTGGAATGGGCTGGGCAGAAACATGTCCTAATTATCGAAAGTGAAAGGTAAGGCTGACTGTAGTGTGAGGAGGAGGAGTATAGTAAGAGAAATTAGGAACTAAAGTTAGAACGAGATTTTAGAAGGTTTAAAAGTCAGGCTGGTGAGTTTGGAATTTAACTTTCACACGAAATATAATAACTAGTCTTACTTTGCTGATGAAAGAAGGAGATTTGCGGTCAGCCAGTCTCCTGTCTCCGATGATGCTCTAATGATCTGCTTCCAATCACAACAGTGACATGCACGGAGCCCAGGACTATAAAGTTACCCCATGTGGAAGCCTTCCACCCACGTGTGTTTAAAATATGATTTGATTGTTTAGGCATTTTATTTTGACACATTTACAATTTTTTTTTGTAAAAATAAAAAGTACGGATCCTTCTATAATAGCAACACACTATCCAGAAGAAAGAAAACCACTAATCAAGCCTGTATAATTCTATTTGATGCTCATATTCCCAGGATAGTGAGAATCTGATGGATTAAAACAATATAATAGACTTACAGCCCTTACAAAACTCTATGGGATGTTTGTGGTTTGAAAATCAGTGATTTTAAATTCTGGTGAGCAGCAAATATTGTTTGGGCAGACTTTTTAATATTTCTGGTCTTCAGAAACCTAATCTTTTCCCATTTGGGGGTGACAGTGACCTTAAATCAACTATTCATAATCTGTTGGCAAGTGAAATCAAAATATATGCTTAGACAACCCTTTTTGCACATCTTCATGGAGGGAAAAATAATAAAAGGAGTTCTCTGCCTAGAATATAAACTATGCTGACAATTACACTTGGCCTGCCTAGACATTTCCTTTGCTAACCTCCACTAGGAGAGTAATGCAAAGCTGCCTTGCACATGGGGAAAAATCAATTTCATAAGAGATATATCTTTATGTGTCATGATCCAGTGTATGATTGTGGCCTTTGATGTCTATTTAGCTAGCAGCAAATTTACAGCCATAACTTTTAATTCCCAGCAATGAGTGTGGCAAAAATAACTTAACAGTTAAATAGGAACCTTGTGCTCATTGGGTGACTGTAATCAACTGCCAGGAATGACCTTGAAATTGAACATTCCTCTCTGCTTAAGTGCTATTAGCAATATTTTTCAGAAAGTAAACCATTTAGTTGGTTGGAAAAAAAATACCGATAAAAATCTATTCTTGGCTACTCTCTAAATTGCATCGCACTATCTGTTCGCCAGCTGAGGGTGAAGAGCATTGTATATTAAAAGATTTTCTTTGTGTAATAATGTGAATACCAGCAGCAGTAATTATAAAATCAATAATTCATAATAAATATGTCCTCCTTATATAATTACTAAATGATTGCAAAACCAATATTATGCACTCGTTAGAATGGAAAAGGTTGCCGTTAAAGACTTTCTATATTACACATTATTGTTCAAAACTTAAACATCCTTGGTCAAATGAAGCAAAGCTTCATCCTCATCAGAATTTAACTAAATGCTATTTCTTTCCAAGCTACAGAAATATATTTGCTCGGTGGTGAAACTAATTATTATATTAAAGCACCTGCCTTCAACATAACCATGTATGGTACCTCTATCAACTCCTTTGTTTCGTGTTGGATCCTGTTGTGATTGTCATCTCAATAAAGACTTTTGTATCCACATTCATCTGCTTCAGGAATTTGTCTAATTGCCATTTCTCATGTCTCAGAAAGCCAAACCCATAGAGAAATGTCCACTAGGCCTTACAGTTTATCCACTGCACAAGTAACTCATATTCCCAGGCAAAGTGCTTGTTTTTGGTCTTTGATTGCCTTACTTCTGAATTGTCCATGACCCTATGAGGCTGCCTAGGAGTTGTTGCCAACCCACAAGGGCTGAGCACTCACCAGAGACACCACACATGTTGGAATGCAATGCCTCTGGCATCAGAAGACACAGAGTTTAATCCCCTAACCTCGCACATTTGTCTTATATTTCCTCAGGAGTCATTAACTCTGTGTGTCTTCTCCAACACCACTTCTCCAACTCTGTGACAACAACAAAATGTAATAACAACAATTCAATTTAATACTGACATGATCTACCGGGAATTAGGGTCAGATCCCACAAGTTAAAGGGCTCGGTCCCATGATACTGCCTCTACTTCAGATGTCAATTACAAGTCCCAGACCACCCCACTTCTGACTGATCTGCTATAGGTAAATTGGAGGCTCCTAGGACCCCCTCCTCAGGTTTGCTAGAAAGGCTCACAGAACTCAGAAAAGTGCTTTAGTTTCTGTTGCTAGTTTACAGCCAAATGGAAGAGATGTATAGGGCCAGGTGTGGAGGATGATGAATGTGGCTTCCCCGCACTCTCTGAGTGTGCCACCTTCCCAGCACATCTCCCCTCTTCAGGGATGGAACAATGGGGCTGAATGTTCTAGGCTTGTAATTAAGATTTGGTCATTCTTGCAACCAGCTTCCATCCTGAAGCTATCTAGGGGACCACCAAGAATTGCCTCATTAGAAAAAAAATGCTCCTGTCACTCAGGAATTCTAAGAGATTCAGGACCTCCACATCAGGAACCAGGGACAAAGATCAAGCATACAGTATATATGTATATATATATATATATATATATATATATGTCTCCCACGTTCAAAGGCTGTTAAATCGCGTTGTTTACCCATATCTTCAGAAAAAAATCACTTCTATTGTCGTGGTAAACAACCTGCTTCCCTATTTATAATGGACTGGCCCTCTAGCAACTTCAGCGCGAAATTATAGCTAATTTGCCTACAAATGTCAGGTGGTCATAATAATCTGGACACTCGGTGTATATTTCTTATCAAACCACACCCACTTACTTCACTTGGTAAGAACAAGACAAGACATGTGCTGAGTATTGAGGAATTTGCTTTTCTGTGGTGAGGAAAGTGAATCTGATTATATGCATGCTGTAAACAAGAAGGTATTTTTCTAATGGACAAAGTGCACTCGGTAAATTAAAAGGGCTGCCACCATGCTTCCATAATTCTTTTTTAGCCCTCAAAGTGAATAAAACAAGAATATAGTAAGTAAATAAACAAGTGAATAAACTCAACAATAAAATCTTTATCACTTCTCTCTGTCTAGAAATATTATACATGATACATCTTTCATAATATTATTTTTCCCTTTCTCTAGTATATAAATGTCATTGCCTCTTTGATGGATGATCTATGTAGGAGTCTAACAAATGTGTTTTCTTTTTTAAGTGAAAGGAGTGTTTGAAGAAATTAATCAATAAATAAATGAATAAATATGCTATGAAGGTTAGGTGTCAGTGGACTGGATGAACTGAAATGCTACTATACATTTTGGAAATGTATGAAACCTCATGTTCTCACCATCCGCTTATTTGGAATTATTGTCATTAAATCTTGCAGGACTAAAGTTAGCTCTTTCTGACCATTTAAAAACAAGTTAAATCAATAATGTTAAAATGGAAAAAAATATTTGTCTCTTTTAATACTGAAGACCAATAAAATTACCACTTTAGCTGCATACATAAAATGAATGGGTTCATTAAGAATGATTCCTTTACCTAGATCCATGGCCGGCAAACTGCGGCTCGCGAGCCACATGCGGCTCTTTGGCCCCTTGAGTGTGGCTCTTCCACAAAATGCCACGTTCGGGCGCGCACATACAGTGCGATTGAAACTTCGTGGCCCATGCGCAGAAGTCGGTATTTTGTGGAAGAGCCACACTCAAGGGGCCAAAGAGCCGCATGTGGCTCACGAGCTGCAGTTTGCAGACCACTGACCTAGATGGTCATGTCTTTGCTTTGCTGAAAGACAAAAACCTGTGTCAAAAATCCCGAAGAAATTTCTTCTCTGATAATGCTCCTAGGGCAATGGAAACTAAAGAGAAAATAAACAAATGGGACTACATCAAAATAAAAAGCTTTTGCACAGCAAAGGAAACCATCAACAAAACAACAAGAAGACCCACTACATGGGAGAACATATTTGCCAATGATACCACCGATAAGGGTTTAATTTCCAACATTTACAGGGATCTCATGAAACTTAACAAAAGGAAGATAAACAATCCAATAAAAAAATGGGCAACGGACCTAGATAGACACTTTTCGAAAGAGGACATACAG